CCTCCTCCTCCTCCTCCTCCTCTTCCTTGTGGAGCACGAGTTTCCTTTTAAACTATTTATAAACAAGATCCTGGGAGACTCTAAGATGACATATTAAAGTACTATTTTATGAGCACCCTCTTACAAAAAAGAAAGTCCAAAACATGAAATGCAAACCTACCTAATGTCCATACATTCTGCTTTCAATATGTTGTGCCATTAGGAAAAATGTAAATAAACCATTAGTTTGTGTTAATATTACAATACTTTCTTGGCTTTTTGTGGAACCTGAACCTATAATAAATGTTTTTGAAATAAAGAATCTTGATGACTATTCATAAAACATCATACACTAAACAAAGTTCCTTTCTAATCAGTTTGGAAAACATTAATTTTACCTATAGAATGAGATAATTTTCTAGAATTTGGAGGACAAGCAAATACATATATTAGAAAACTGTTCATTTTAAGATTATTAATTCTTTTTATAATGCATTCCACATATAATCTTTGCCATGTTGAATTCTCTGCTTTATAATCTATCTATGGTAACTTTAACATTCTACTTGCTATTACCATTCCTTTGCTGATCTATATATACTTAATATAATTCTAAATAAATAGGAAAAGAAACTTAAATAATCCTGTGTCCAAAGTAAGCTCTAGGTGAACGAAGGGCTTTTAAATTATAATATTAAGTTCTATGTTTTAAAATTCGGATTCAATAGATCTGGGGTGGTATCGTCTAACATTAAGTTTTCAAGCATGCATTTGAGTTTTATACTGAAGAGATATTTGCAAAATACTCATTCAAAAATCCTTTAAAATACACATATTTAGTACTTTTAGTATTCATTTGAATTATCCATACCACTTAGTAAATCATATAGATAATTGAATTGACTACATATATTTGAGCTGAATATATTCCTTAAAATTAGAAAATAACTACTTTTCTCCAAAGCATCAGTATTCTATTTTAGCTAGTTCTCCTTTTCTCTGCCCTGTAATTCATTCAAAATATTTAATACATTAAATCAAGTAATTTCATTTTATTTTCTTATATTGTTCTTTAGCCTACCTAGAGAATCGCCAAGTTGGTTTATGTTTATTTTCATAAAGATAAAGATATAGTTGAACTTACATACATTTATGTTTTATTTTCTGTTTGCAGGGTACAAGTTGAATTCTATATGAACGAAAATACATTTAAAGAGAGATTAAAGTTATTTTTCATTAAAAACCAGAGATCAAGTAAGTCATTCTTGTCATACCCCTCTATTTGTTTATACATAACTTTACCTAAAAGTTCTAGTTGTGCAATAATTTGTAAAATACTTTTTATACAGAAAATAAAATGAGTAATGATTTTAGAAAATCTGTAAAGTTTTCAAAAGCCATATATACATCTAATGGAAGTAATATTCCTTAACCAATTTAGATCTTCAAATTCTACATCCATAAATTGACTCCTTCATGGGTTAGTTGGTTTACTAGAAACATTAATAAATAATTTAAGCAAGTGATTTAGATTTTTAAATAAAGAGACATCTAAAATATCATACTTTGACAAAACTCTGGAGATTTATGGATTAAATGCAAAATAAATAACTGAGTTGATGAGGGATAAATTTAATATTTTGCAATCATGATTAATGATAACACACACCTAGAGCATGCTGCAGTAACATATTTGTGCTTCACTTTTAGAATTTTAATCAGTAAGTATAAGATGAAGCTCAGAGTTTTACAGCCTTATGATTATTATTATTAGATAAATTTTGGAATCACTGGAATGTCAAGAAGATATAAAATGGGCACTACATTGTTAATCCCTTTATAGTATCTGTGGTGCTTATTTCTTCAGCACTGTATTCCATATTTTATGAAACCTTTTTGTAATAAGATATGACTACTGCTTAAAATGCACAGTACACATGACGAGGTCTACAATATATTTGTGTAGGCTATAAATTCTGTAATCTTGATCTCTAATTCTCTTGGAGTCTTCTAAATTAAATTCTGCCTCTTCAAGCAGTATTCATAGAGAAATGACTGACTTCTAAGGGATTATTTAAATGCTGACTGTCTGGATTATTTCAGTATTAAAGGCACACTGGTCAGGTATACTTCATGATGTACTAACTTTATGGTGGAGGCTAGAAGTAGTTACTGTCCGATCACGTACGTTGTTTTGAATTTCCAAAGACATCTCATCACTAGACACTGCCTAAAAGGCCTGCTTCAGCTGAGTGGAAGTTTTCCTCAATTTCTCTGCTAACAGTCCTCTCCAGAGCAGAAGAGATGCATCCTTTGTTTGAGTACTTACCTATCTAAAAAGAAGACCCACTTTTGTAAAACAAGGAATATTTTTCTTAATCATCTAGAAGATCATAAAGAAGTTAACCTTTAAAATGTACTTAGCATTTCTGGAGCGAAGCCTAGGAAATATTACACGATTAAGCATTAACCTTTTCAGCATTAAAAAATGCTACAGGTATATTCATGTGCGGCAGAATTAAACAAAAAGTAAAATTTCATTTCTGAGCGTTACTAGGTAATAAATAGAAGGAATCATTTCTCATTTTTTTCAAAATATGTAAATCAAGTAACATTGGATAATTGCAGGAAGAATGATGTTCCCATTAATCAGACTTTAAGCATATTTGGCCAGACCTGAATTCCTCCTACTCAACATCAAGTGTTAAAGTCTGCACAATTGTTACAGAAACAATTTTTAAAATATGTACTGTATGTGACAGTATTAATTTAACAACATTTTAAGATTTCACTGGTGTTTAACCTATTTAATAATATGGTTCAATTGCCAAATGACAATGAATTTATGCATGTTTGCTTATGAGTGAGCGAATGGTGTGTTTTTCAGCATAATCAGTTATGATTTCTTTATGTATTTCATTAATATGTGACATAGTTATAGGATTAGGACATAGTTATGTAATAATATATAACCTATAATTGTATAATTAATATATATCACACTATAATTTTGCAATTAACATTTAAAGTATTACATATGATTATATAAGTGTCATTATAATTTCTCTATAATTAAATGTACAAGGTATTAAGAATGTCCAAGATCTGCCCTATGAATGTGGAATTTTGTAGATTTTGTAGCTAACTGAACCTTATCTCCTAATTCATGATTAGGAATATGAATACATTTGCCTAAATTTATAAGCATATTGTAACAGCCTTGACTGGCCATAAAATTTATACTTTGTGATTATTCAAACCTAGACTCTCAATGGGTAACAATAACTGCTACTTGCAGTTCATGCATTCTTCCAAGATCACTTTTGGTTTCAATTTTCAGTTAATTAAAATTCAGATACCAAGAATTTTAGTAGGCTTAAACAATTATAGTATTGTAGTTTCTAAATACAACCTAAGTGCTGTACTTACAGGTGATATTTTTGACAGTCTCTTTTAGTCTTTTGTGAACTAAGTTTAAATGAAAATCAAATTTTTGTTGTTTGTTTAAAGGTCTAAGAATACGCCTGTTCAATTTTTCTCTCAAATTATTAAGCTGCTTATTATACATAATCCGAGTACTACTAGAAAACCCTTCACAAGGAAATGAATGGTAAGGTATCTTTGTTTAAGCTTCAACAATATTAAAAAAGTTTTTGATTTATGAAATTTGAGGGATGGTGTATAAAGCTCACTTTTTTCAAGAATGTGGTTTGTCTCAAACTGATTATAGACATAATCTTTGCAGGTTCTTTGTAAATAATTCTTTCACTCCTGTTCATCTAAGGGTAATCCATGAATTTGCTATTTTTTTTTGTCTAAATGCTGTAAGTAATTGTTATTTAAAAATTAACAGTCAGGGGCTGGGGAGATAGCTCAGTGGCATAAGCACCTGCCTGTCGAGCACATGATCTTGCGTTTGATCTTGGGTACCCCCCAACCCCCCAAAAGAGAAAGGGTTGGTCTTTTTCGAGATCTGAAATCTTTTCTGTTCTAGATATATGTGTACTTACAAAGTTTTATCTTTCTGTACGCTAACTTCATCTACATTTTCTTCAGTTATAGTACAGTAGATACCCTTGAGTGAAAGCACTTCAGCATACACTGAGATGAATAACTGTAGCCTTAAGTTTCAGTTTTAATAACACAGTTCTTTATCTTTTGAGTTGATCTATTGATTTACCTTAATTTTTTTCATTGATAATTCTGTTGCTTTTATTAAATTACATGCTTGAATATTTATCAATTTCTTTTTAAGCTCTATCTTTGGCTCCATAAATACAGAAGGCTAGAGGTTTGTAATGATATGTGTAATGTTTCACCCTATTGGCATTGTGGACTCTTGCCCAGAGTAAAAAAATTATAATGATATTCCAAGCATAAAACTAAAATTTGACAAAATTCTTTACACCCATTTTTTCATATGGAAAATTTTCCTCAAAATAATTGAAAATAAAATGGAGTCTGCTCATAATATGAATTTAAATAGTCAATTACATTTTTAGATAGTAAAAATAATTTTGTATTTATTCAAAAGTTTTTAAAGAGAAGGTAACTAGTAACATTTTATTGTGTAATGATAGGTTTCATTATCTTTTTTTTTTTTTTTTTTTTTTTTTTGGTGGAACCGGGGATTGAACTCAGGTCCTTGTGCTTGCCAGGGAAGCACTTATTCCACTGAGCCATCTCCCCGGCCCCAGTTTCATTATCTTTTATAATTTATTGAAATGTAAGTCTTATTTTTTAGTTTTTAAGGAGTACAAGATAGTATCAAAACAGAAAAAATTATAAGTGATGCAGAAGTTTCACTTAGCAAAGTTGTCTTCCAAACAGTTATTTGTATTACCAGATATATGCATGCAAAATTGGAAGAAGAAAGAAGTGTAGAAGAAAGTCAGAAGAGAAAAAGTATGAGCAATTGAAAAAAAGGAGACAAAACAAATTAAGTATTATCTGCCCCTTTCCACAGACCAGCAGGAATGCACAGTGCAGTTGTCCTACTGACCATGTCATACTGAGTACTTGGCACGCACCAAGGACATTGCTGTGAATGAAGACAAAGAAGTAAATGGGAACATTCAATACCTTCTAGGAATTCTCAGTCCATTGAAAGGTTGCTCATTGTGGAGTTATTACTACGAACTGGGATTAGACTCTTCGCTTATGAGTAGTGTTTTCTTCAAAATACACTTATTTTATTATTCTCATATTAAATATGAAGAAAGGAAGGTTTTCCACAGTACGCTGAGACCCCCCAGAACTAATCCTGTTATACCTTTTATGTCTGTTTAATTCAGCCACCATGGGAAGACACACTGGTCCTCAAAAGGCCCGCTCACATATTCAGCTCCACTTGGGTGTCTATAAGACATTCCAGACACGTTCCAATCATCTGGAGTGTTCTTCAATATCTCATTTCAATGGCAACTCCATCCTTCTTTCCAAATTCTATTTTCCTAGCCTTCCTCATTTACGTGCATAACAGTGCCATTCTAAATTTCTTGGGTTACATCCTTTGGAGTCAGTCTTAACTTCTCTTTTGTCCATAGTTCATGGAAACACCTTAAAGAATCCTGTCATTTCTACCTTCAAGATACAAGCACTGTACAGTCGCTTTTCAGTGTCACTTCCCTGATGCACACTACCTTCCCTCCGCTGGGTGACTCCCTGAGCTTCTCTAGTCCTGCCTTTGCTTCCCTTTAGTTTATGCTGAACCTGAGAGTCCAATTTTGATGCCCTCTGCTTTCAAAGCCAAAATCCTTGCCTGTGGCCTGTAACAATTCCTGGCCTTCTGTAACTCCACTTCCTACTACTCATCCATTCTCCTTTAGTGGCATTGTTTCTGGTTCATATTAGGTACCTTGCTATCTTGGGACCTTCATATAGGCTCTTAACTCTGTCTTCTCTTCTTACATATGAGATAACCAAAAACGTACTAATTCCTCAGACCTTCAGTCAAAATCATATTAAGTATGCTACTGAGAACTGTAGTCTCAAAAAAAAAAAAAAAAAAAGAAAGAAAAGAAAAAGAAACTTGTAATTTCATAAAACCTCTTTGATTCTCTTTTGGTTTTTACTCCAGCGCCTTTATCTCTTACACGTATTTTGTATACTTTGATTTATTAGTTTTCTGTGCATCTCATGAGTATTAGAGTGAACATGTCTTAGTGGTATGGATTGTTGAATTCCCATTGCCTGGCACAGAATGGTATAGTTATTTGTTAAATGCCTGAGTGACCAAATCTTCAAGGGAAGTTCCTCTATAGCATAATCTTTGCTTACTGTACTTCACTGGCCTCTTATTTCAGCCTGCTGACCTTGTTAAAGTCACGTATGATTATTTTACTCTCCACTTTCTCTGGCCTTATTCTTGCACATAAGTTTCCCGTTGGTGCCTCTCATGGCATCTCTGTTGTTGACTTATTTCAGGACTCCTGGATCCTCAATTTAACACTTTCTTGGCTAACACTTAACCTGAATTTTTTTAGCAGGCATTACATCCTGCAGCCCAGTTGATTGTGGGTTAGGAGTACCATATCAGTACCTTCTGAACATCTGGACATGCATCTCTTGAAAGACCTGTACTGTATTCTATTTGCCTCTGTATCTTTCACCCTTAGCACAGGACTTGGTGGGTGAGCAAATGCTGAAGTAATGGAACCATGCCCCCTAGTTAAGGAATCAGCTTGGTACAGCAAAGGTGATGGAAGACCATGACCCACAGAAGTCGGCACCCACGACATTGTTCTCTTTGTTACCAAGAATGAAGAACACAATAAATCTTTGCACAAACATACCAGAATTTAAAAACTTGGTAATTTGTAAATAAAAGATGCACTAGAGAAACCCATAGATCATAAAATAGTGCAGGAAGAATCCTTTCAAAGAAAAAAGTGCACTAGTGGGTGATAGCAGAATAAAATTATATTATTTGAAAACATTAAGAGGAGTAAAGTTTCCTACAATTAACTTCCATGCAATATTACCAGGAATCTTCAGCCATAATTGTAGGATATACATTTGAAAAATCAGATTACTGTAATTAAAAAACATAACAAACTAACTTATGGCTCCATTTTGAATGCAATGTTCTGTTGAGTTAGCATTGTCAATGCAGTCTTCGTTAATGAAAAACAGAAGTGGCCTTTATGGGCACAGGCTCTATTTTAAAATAATGAGTCTAATTCAGCAAAGAGATTTATCTAATTAGAGCTTCTGACATGACAAAGCTGCAGATAATTTTGTGCAGCTTTGCTGTATTTTTAAATTCCTCCCAGGAATAAAAACTGATTGGCAAATTATGCAGTTTGGATAAGCTGAAGAATATAAATTTTTTTTGTTATTAATGCCTGATAATGTATACATGGCAAACTCTGATGCCTACCTAGAGTGTATCAAAGACTTAAAGATTTTAGCAAGAGAAACATCTGAAGATGTACAGATGTAAGACGTCAAGACAAGACTCATGGCCTGCTGCTGCTCACAGTTTCTAACTCTGTCAAAACTCATGCATTCATTTTCACTTTTAAAATTATGGAGGTTGACTAGGGAGATAGCTCAGCAGTCTAAGAGCCTGGCTGGCAAGCTCAAGGACCCGGGTTTGACCTCCTGTACTGCACGCCATGCTGGTCACTGAAACTGGGCATGGTGATGCATGCCTATAATCCCAGTGCTGGGAGGCTGAGACAGATGGATCACTACGAGTCTGAGCTGTGTAGCGAGACCCTGTGCCAAATAAACAAAAGAGTAAGAAGTAAAAATATAAGTTAGATTATTGAGGTGATTATTTGTTTGGAGCATTGTAAAGATAGAGTCAAAGATGAGGAGCCCGTCCGTGCATGTTGTTTTATTTTATAGCACTAGAATTGCACTTAGACTTGCATTTAAGATCAATATTTAATATAGCAACTGGTGTGTTCAGATAATCTTTAGAATTTAAAGGCATCCCTGCATTAGATAAGAAATATTAGAAAAGAAATTGAATTTTTATAACATTTAAAGATATTTGATGAACTGTAGGAATGAAGTCATAAGGTAGAGATTTCCTTCTTTCATGTATTTTGGGCCCTGTTAAATTCAGGTAATATGAAAGCCTCTATATTCAGTCTTAAAAAAAGTTAGAAGGATTTTGTTTCTTTACCAAAAAACTTCATTCTGGTCATTATGGACCAGACACACCAGGCACCACAAAACATTCCTATCACATGTAAGTATAACATGTACGCAAATCACTTACATTTTGTGACTGTGTGTTTCCCCAAACCTGGGTCTTTTGTAGCCAGTTTTCAGAGAGTGGAAAGCAAGAAGAATATGTGTATACTTTAACAACTCTTAGTAAATAAATGACAACTGTGACCTTTCCTTGAATTTCATTTTCAGATAACACATAAAAATTAGTTGCAGCCTCACGCTCTGATACCAAGGAATGCTTGACTGCAGGTCATTTGTGTACCTCGAGGGGAAGAATGAGTGTTGACCATGAAAGAAAGTCAGCCCGGTCACAGTCATGTATGGCTAGTAAAGAGGCTTTCTCTCCATATATGTTTTTTTCCATCAGTCTGTATTGTGTACTTTCCTTACTTCATCATCGCTTGTCTAAACTGGGGTTAAGTATCTCCAGTTTTTGGAAAGGATTTAAGTTACTTAAAGTTCTTCCTAACTTATTTTTCTGTATTTATGGTGTTTTAACATCATGATGATTTTTGAGCACATTCTAAAATCTTTTTGCTCACCTTGAAATGTGAGTCTAATAATATACTTGACATTCAAGTTCTTGTTATTTATTATGGCTAGGAGAGTTATAGAAAATTTTATATACTATAAAATTTATTTTCATGATAGTGTAGTCAAAAAAGTCATAATAGCTCCCTTCAATGGCTCTTTTAAATTTAAATTGCCTAAGATATCTCTGTAAGATATTAAAACAACATTCTAGACCTTTTACAGAGGAGTACCCAAACTGCAAATCAAAACCCACTTATTTATTGCAAAGTGCCAACATTGCAATTACACCTGAGGTTTTAGTTTAGGAGAAAAAATTCATACATTAACATCTTTTGTCATAAAAGGCAACAAATAGCATGTGTGCCATGGGTTCACCACCACTCTTCTACACCAACAAATAGTCCTCAGTTAGATATAATTATATCTTAGTAACTCAATATTAATTACTGATTTCTCCTTTTGTAATTTTTAAAAAATCTTTTATTTGCTTATTCAAACAGGATCTCTGCGCAGCTCAAACCTGTAGTGATCATCCTGTCTCAGCCTCCCCAGCACTGAGTTTATAGGCATGCACCACTATGCTCGGGTTCGGTGGCTGGTGTAGCATGGTACACCTGGGGTTTTGGGGTACCTGGGCATGCGCTACTGGGGATTGAACCTGGGTCCTTGTGCTTTCCAGAAAGGCACTTAGACCACTGAGCTATCTGCTTAACTGCACTGATTTCTCTTAGAAAGTACTCAAAAATTATAGCAGTATATTTTCTAATTTTTTAGGGACTGCAAAAGTTTTTATAACATATATTTTTCATCTGTAAATTTGAACATATATTTTTCATTCTGACATGCCTTACATTTTTATGAATTCTGAGATATAAAAAAAATGATTTGGGAAGACAATGAACTCAACAGCCATAGTATTGTTTTGACTGTCACCATTCATCATTATATTAACAGTATATAGACTACTCTGTGTGTGTCTCCCACAAGGCATCGTGTTGATAGCAGTGAGTAAAACTGTTACGTTATTTGATGTTATGGAATTTGTAGTTATTATTATTATTATTATTGTTATTATTATTTAATTTAATTTAATTTAATTTTTTTTGTGGAACTGGGGCTTGAACTCAGCCCTTGCGCTTGCCAGGGAAGCACTTATTCCACTGAGTCACCTTCCCCCAATTTTTTTTTTTTTTCCTTTGGTGGAACTGAGGATTGAACTGAGGTCCTTGCACTTGCCAGGGAAGTGCTTATTCCACTGAGCCATCTCCCCAGCCCTGGAATTTGTAGTTTTGGAAAAGACAGTCATTAAATAATTGGTTTCCAAGGAGTACAGTTTCAACTGAGATGAGCAAGAGAGTTGCAGTGGGTGGCGTGACTCAAGCATTGAGCTGATAACGGTGAAGAAGTGGAAGTTGCGCTAGCAGAGGGTTCAGCTGAGAGTTGTAGGACAAGGGAAGAGTAGCTAAAAGTCAGAGTGATAGAAAGGATCGTGCTAGATGCAAGTAAATGCAAGGATGCCAGGTCAAAGGGTTTGGTCTTTGTCCTTAAGAAAATTATAGCATGAACTCACAGTGGGGAGATACGTTCTAAAATATATTTTGGAAAAATGTGTCACTGTAATTCAGAAAAAAATGTAGATGATAAAAGAGGTGAAGGGTAAAAGGTCAAATTGAAAATGAGGGAGCTTAGAGGAAGGTGGTTTTGGTGCTAAGTAAATATTCACTGGGAAGCATTGAAAAGAGTTTGTAACATGCATTTTACAAATGTAATTGGACATTTTCTAAGAGGTTGCTCTGGCTTTTGGATAATCAGACACAATGGATTTGATGTCATTGAGATGTGAAAAAAAGTGAAAGAAAATCAGTTTTGGGAAGAAAGAGTACAAGTTGTACTTGAACCAATTAAAGATGTTATTTAACCAGACAGATGTGGCACTCTGAAACTCCAGAGTGCTTTAGTCTAATACGCTGTAATGTGTCTTTGAATGTTCTTTTGTAGCTTTATCATTCCTTATAAAACAAAAAGATTTGAAGGGTTTTGTCTTTTGTTATTAACATATTATGAAAAAATTATTTAGGCATGTGAAAATATATTTTATGGGACTCTATATTTCATAACTATAATTAGAGTGGCTTTTGTTTTGGGAAGTTTCATTTACTTTTATTATAAAGGAAAATGTGGTGATTTTCCCTTTGTTCATGAGGAGAGTATATTGCCTACTAATTACTACCATTTGGATCAAATACATATAATTGGTGGAACATTAAAACTGCTATGGTTTCCTTAATTTAAACTTTGGATTTTGTATCTTTAAAAACTGAAATCTTAGTATGTTTCAAAACTTTAGAGCCTTACAATCCACAGGTACTTACTAGTGTACCTTTCAGTGCAGAATTGGCTAGAAGACAGTTTGATGTTTTTCTGCACTACTATGTATTGTTTTTCACTAAGGATTGACTTGACTTTCATTTATCTTTAAAAGTGACACAAATTAAATTAAAAAAGTGTTTTAAATTAGAAATGTTTGTTAGTAACAAAGAAAACTGAAAAAGAAAATTTTCCTGTTTATGTGTGTTGTTGTTTTGTGCTATCCTTGTTTCAGCACATTCATGTTTTTGCAAAGCTAATGTGTTTGTCCTTCCTTTCACAGGTCCCACATATTCTGGGTGAACAGAAGTCTGCCTTTATGGGCCTTGCAGGTTATGTATGATTTTGTTTGATCGCCGTATTTCTGGGATTATTCATATTTCATAGAGATAATATTGGTGAGAAAAGTGTTGATACACAAAATAAGATGCCCTAATGCTATTTCGTCTTTATGCATATCTTATGCAAGCATTCTTGTTGCTTTCTTTGCTTTTGCTCAAGATGTGCATTTTACTTTTTGAGAATTTTCTGGACATCAGGATTGTACTCTTGGTGGTGTTTGAGAATGAAGAATAAAGTACACTAGCATTTAAAGGCTATGTATTTTCCCAAGCTACCTTACATATCCCAGCTTATCATTCCTTTAAAATTATTAAAGACATTCACAAAGATGTTTATGCTTTATCTTATATCCCTATTAGAACATAATGGAATCTCAAAAAATGTTATTAATGAGCAAATGACTTATAATGTCTGTTACAACAGCTTATTTCCTAAGTAGCTAATTGTGTGAATAAAATAAAAATATGTTGTGTCATAAAAGGAATTTTTAAGAAAAAGAGTAGGAATATATGATGGAGAAGAACACATCTGAATTATACTGCTAAGGAATTCCCTTGCATTCTGTCTACCTCTTCCTTGTTATTTATTTTTTCTATTAGATTTCTTTCTCATCAAACTTGTAATAAGGTGTCCTCTTTGTATCTATTTACCATATATAGATCATTTTAATTTGATTTTATCTATTTTTTAAAGTAAAAATTAACTGAAAGAATATGAGTTTTGGAGTTATGCGAATAATCTTCACACCAGTATTAGATCAAATGTTTGGTCTGTCTTTTAATTTTATTATGATTGCACCATTTGCTCATTTTATATGTGAGAATGCATTATTTTAGGTACACACTGAGATCATAGCTATTAAACCAAGTTTTTATTGTGTCTGTTAGTTCATATTTTGCTGAAGTTCTACTTCTGTTTCAATGCTGTATTAATATACAATCTTTTTCAAATACTTAAAAGGTCCTTAAAATGTCTTTTAATCTTAGCTATATTCATTAATAAACTAATATTTTTACTTACTCATGCGCTGTCCTGATATATGCTTTGATCTGTTCATATTGATTTTATTGAATAAGAATATTCAAATATAACACTCATTTCCAGATTGTACTTTGAATAATATGCTAAAAAGTTCTAGGGGGGATCTAGCAAGATATAGCTCCAACAAACAGCATGGATGAGTATAATGTAGACAACTATAGAGAAAAACAGGGATTTGTGTCTTTTAGAATACTGATAACCTTAACAATTGGCAAGACAACTTTGTTACTTTTTTTTTTGGCGGGACCGGGGATTGAACACATAACCTTGCGCTTGCCGGGGAAGCGCTTATTCCACTGAGCCATCTCCCTGGCCCTTGGGATTTGTGTCTTTTAAAAAATTTTCTTTAAAAAAAAAATTTACAGACTGGGTGTGGTGGTACATGCCTGTATTCCCAGCTCTTGGGAGGCTATAAGCAGGCAGATCACTCCAAGTGCAATCTAGTAGTGAGACCCTGAACACCTTGTAAAAAAATACACCCTTCTCTAAAAAAATACAAAAAAAAAAATTATTTGATACAGGGTCTCACTGTGCAGTTCAGACTCATAGTGATTCTCCTGTCTCAGCCTCCCAAGTCCTGGGATTATAGGTGTGCACCACCACACCCACCTGAGGATCCAGGGCCTGTGCTTGCCAGGCAAGTGCTGAGACTGCTGAGCTATTTCTCCAGCCCCAGAGATTTGTGTCTTATCATACTAATACCTGACTAATGAATACCCTTCTGAAAATAATTTGCCTCTCTATTTGTGTGCACATCCATTTTTAGTTTTAATAATCATTTGAATTAAAATTTTTTATTCCTATAAGAGACAAAATTTAAAATTGCAGGGTATCTGTTTTCCTTCACTGAGATTGCCATAAGCTAGTGGTAGTGAACATATGCCATGCATACTGTATTTCTTTTAAGAGAAAAGGTGTTCTTATATGGACATCATATGAAAAGATTTTGTGAGCTAAAGCCTCAGTATTTAGCTTTAATTGTACTGTTGCCATTGTGAGGAGAAATAATTGAGTTTTAGGTTGCAGTTTGGTCACTTGTGTCTAAAAGGATCACCATCATTTCCCTAAACCTTAATGGTGCTGTAAAAATGTTTATTTGAACTTAGAATGCATCAAGTCTTTTACAGATGACTGAAGTTTATTCTTTTTTGTGGCAGAGAAATATTCTACCGTTAGGAATATCAAAGTTGATTAATTTTTGTGCAATAAGTCAGGCACACAACCCTAAAAATCATATGGCTTCTCTTAAAAAGAAATGGAAGATAAAGTATGCAGTATAGGGAGGTAGATCTTTTGGCAAATGGCAAGGGGTTTATGAGATGAAGAGAGGGTAAGAAGGCAAGACCTAATAAGAAATAAGAGGTGCAGGCACAAGTCCGTGTGTGTGTCCCAGCTCTGTACAACGGATGCTTTCATGAAGTAGTAGAGGCATGCAGCAACACAAAACATTTACTTGAACCATTTGCTATTTATGTTTGCCTATTTTGTTCTACAGATCTATGTGGTAGTAACTAACATATTTAACAGGGAATAATTTCTACATTTAAAATTATTTTTTAGTTGTGATGATATTTTCATGGTAGTTGCATAGTAGGAATAGAATATATAAAAGAGAAAACAACAAACCCAATCAGTGCAAATCTAGCACTGTCAGTGGCAAGCAGAAATGTGGTGAGAAAGTTCTTTCAAAATTGGAAAGTCTCATCAAGTGCTTATCTGTACTGTTTTGTTCATTTGAGGATGTTGTTATTTATTTATTTATTTTTTTGAGATGGAGGATAGGACAGCATATATTCATTTTGAAATTTTTCTTGTTGTTTTTCTATATTTTGTGAAGGAAATGTTCTTTTGGATATTGGTGTTGCTGGAAAATGAACTTCTTTATGCAAGAGCAGGTGTGTGTCATTGTGTGTATTATAAATACACACACAAATAATCTACTCTTTAACATATCACTTAGACTCCAGCCTGTTTAATATATATACCTTTAAATTGGGGATAACAATAAAAGGAACTTGTTAAAGGTTCTAGAAAATATAAAAACTGATCTGTAGCACAAAGGGAAGCACAATATTCTACAGTCTGTCACCTCTTATAGATGCTTTTGCATTAATACTGCCTGTGTCATATGTGTATATGTGCATATCACAAACAATTACATACGAGCAGACATACATGGACATATGCTCATCTAGCACAGACAGTACAAATGTGGATGTATGCTTTACTGCACTTTCTCATTAAGTAACCATTTGCATTTTAGGTCTCAGTGGCATTGATAAGTCTATTTGAAACACTACTACTTGGTTATCTCAGTTATAAGGTAAGTTACTCTAATTAACAGTTTTAAGCTGTAGAACACACTGATAGCATTTGCTAAGTGTTCTTTTCCTTATAATTCATGCTTGGAGATACAGCAAACTCTTCTTAAACCACTTTAATTATTTTGAGCCTCTCTAGTATGTGATTAAAAACTATGGTAATGTAGCAAGTTTTCCTTGGTGACTTAAAAGCACTTCACTAGTTCCTGTGAGCTTTCTTACCTATTCCATGCGTGCTAATGGTGAGGACAGCCAGGGAAGGCAGTCTGGCTCTTTATTGTTCTCAATCTCTTTTCTTAACCTTCACAAAAAATTTTAAGAACGCAAAGGTAAATTGCTGGTAAAGTTTTGTTTTGCTCACACACTTTAATGACTATTGATTGAGCTCCTTTGATGAGAGCTTCTTTTGATTGAGATCCTGCCTTTGTTTGGCCCTTTTCTCAATGAGTTTACAATTTAGAAAGGGGAAAACTAGTTAGGTGATTTTAAGTCTGAATATGCATGGCACTTTGTGAGAGGTCTGAATTCAGTGCTGTGAGTGTTCCTAGAAAGAAGTCATATGCTTGGATGCAAAGGAAATACTTGAGTGACAAACAGGCTTTGAATTATAGTGATTTTAATAAGGCAGGATGAAATGACATGGCAATTGGGGTTGATAGAATTAGCAAAGGGATGAAGAAAGGAATGTATAGATGGTTATGAATTGGAGAAACACTCAACACTGCAGCTTACCTAGACTCTGGGGGTCTTGTGAAGCAACATCTGTTGGAAAGTTGAACACAGAACATGCGTATAAGAGTTCTACAATAGAAGTCCAGTTTTAGAAATATTGCTTCAGAAGTTCTGCACCTCCCAGGTAAAGAGACTTCACAGTGCGGACTGCATGTTCAGTTATAGCACCTTACTCTGCAGAAGGAAATCCAGCAGTTTTTGGCAAGGTGAAATGAGTTGCCAGATTTGCTGAATGATTCTGAAGGTAAAAACCAAAGAAGCCATCAGCATACTGAGATAGGTCACTGAAAGGAAATTAAAGTGGCATTTTAAAATATTTTTCTGAGACTGATTGGGAATGTGGTAGTAAACGCAAGAGAGAATAATATAAAGAAAAAACTAAGGTGGGAGTCAAGACAGACAAGGCAATGGAATTGGTTTTGGAGATGATGAATATGAGTTCCTGGCACATAATCAGGGATAGCTGGATGGGTAAACAGTGGACAGTGAGGATCAGGAACTTTTGGGAAATGATTAAGATTTGGCAGTCATTTTCACAGAGATGACAGAGGAAGTCACCAGTGCTTCGTACATGGGGGTTCACTGATGTAAAAGCCCAGGCTTGTGTTGATGCAGATGCTTGTGGGAGGAGCCAGCAATCAGGGAGGACGCTCAAGGAGACAAAGAGTTTAGAAAGCACTGCTGTTCATTCACAGTTCTTTCATCTTATCAACAAGTGTATTTATTTATTTATTTATTTATTTATTTTA